TTCCAAGTCATGCGCGTCTAATTTGGGGATTAGGGTCGTTTGATTCTGAAAAATTACAAACGATAATAATAAGTGGGTGCCGCTTATAGCTTTTTTTCTTCCACTTATTTGTCTCCATACTGTCATCCGATTTTCGTCACACAGGACAGCCACACCTGAACTAATAGGGACGGTGACGGTTTTATTCGGGTCTTCAGTTTCTATTGCAGAAGCATAATTACCCATATCAATATCAAGTGGTACTTCACTCGTTAGTTTCAAGTGAGTTTTTTTCCGTGAGTTACAATCGCGTGTTTAACGCTTAACGGCACGTACTACACCGACACACTCTTCGCTGTTAATACTCGTGTTAGCAATGTAACCACCATCAATCTTCTTACAGGCCAAAGCTAGAAAACTCATGGCCTCCTGGATCTGTAACGCCGTATTCCTACGACTAAACATACAAAGCCAATGTGAGTTAGGTCTCATGCATCTTTTGTATACGGTAGGACTTAAACAGGTACACACCTTATGAAACCACTTTCTAAATCCCTTGTACTGCATTCCTTTCTCTAAAATGAATAAATAATTTGACCGTTTACATTTATAGATACCGCCAACAATTATAATCAGATTAGGAAGGCTCACAACACAATATGAATACAAGTCTCAGAGTCAACGAGAAAGAAATTACCACAAGACAAATTTCAACAAAATTTCAAACTTTAATCGAAAAACTTCAAGTTAAAGTAGGCCAAGAATGCTTTCGATGACACAACTACAGAAAGCAAAGGATAATCACCGCCCATTATGAAGAACGCGCGGCTTGATTCATTGTTGTTTTTGTACACTGACATTCAGTTTCAGTTTAGAAAGAAAAGAAGAATAGGTGGCCTGTGTCAGTCTTCACAATAATGATCTCTCAGCTGGTTCAGTTTTCTTCTGAAAGAGTCGATAGATGGAGCTTCAATCATTTGTTAAGTGAATGAAGTCCATTCGTTGGTGTTTCAATGGGAAAGTTGATAGTCAGTTGACAAGTAATTTGTTCTAGTCCTGTGAACACTTTTAGTGGCCTAGCAAACTCCGTTTTAGAAGACAAGAAAAATAAAGGCATATCGTGTGCAAATTTGTCACGAAGTAATTCAAAAGCTGTTATTATATCACCTTTGGGTCCTTTATATGATAATAGCGAAAGGTTTAGTTTAGCCTGTCGATTATCATACGATAGCATCAACTCAACTGCTGTTCTCTGGAATTTTTCCAAAAGCCCACCGTCATTTTTAAGCAATGGCTAGCCGCCTGTATGCAGTAGCCAAGCTCAGGGCGCACAGTTACTGTATACAAAGTCATGGAAGTTTCGATGTTAATATGGCTAAAGGCCCTACGTATTCACGATAGGATTCAAAAATCCTTGGAGGCTATTGCACGGCAGTGTGCGGCAGTCCTCAAGCAGTGGCTAACGATGACTCCTAAGCCATTGTGTTTCTGGAAAATAATGGTTCAGTGTTGTTCACCTTGACGACCAATATGCATCATAATGTACTTGTATGTATTTATCGGCAACTGCCAAGTTTGGGACCATTCAGCTGATTTCCCCAGGTCATTTCAAATCTTTGAGCTATCACCCTTACTCCTAATCGTTCTCCATATACTGACATCGTCAGAGTATATCAAGACCGATGGTGATAGGAGACGAGGAAGCTGATTTACATACAAGAGAGATAACACTAATCTCAGAACTGTACCCTGAGGCTATCCGCTAAGCGCAATTTTCCAGCTAGACAACCTGGAGTTTACGCGTACTCTTTGTAGTCTTCCAACTGGAAAGTCCTTCATCCACATTAATAAACTGCTTCCAAACCCGTATTTTTTAATTTATATAACAATTAGTTGAGGGGAACTTAGTAAGAAACCTTGCTGAAATCAATGTAGGCTATATTTATGGGTAAATTTTGGTCTTTAACAGCGCATCAGCTTACAGAAGCCAATGATAAGTTAGTGAGATATGAATAACTTATTTCAAAGCCATGTTAGCTTTCCGAAAGGATCCGCTTTTTATCGAAATAAGTAAACAGCTCCTTTTGAATAATCTTTTCTAAAATTTTAACAAATGCTCTGGTTAGGCTAACGTATCGTTAGTTCTCAGGTTTATGTTTCGTACCTGTTTTGAAGACAGGACTTACTGTGGCGTTCTTCCAGTCTTTAGGTAATCGACTTGGGGTCACGAATACATTAAAACATATGCTCAAGGGGTTCGAAACTAAATTTGCTAGTTTGTTTAGTAACCTAGGGTGCATTTCAATGGGTTTGGTGTCTCATCAGTACCCAATAAACTTAATATTTGCCAAATTCTCCTCTTGCGTAGGACGGTGTGAGCTTACCTGCTGAACCACGGAGAGTTTCCCTTGGCATAGTCTAAAAGATGTGGGGTGTAGTAGCGTTTTAGTACAAATTTCGAAATACATTCCGAGCTGTTTTAATTGGGGATTCTGGCTCTATTGTCCAATACATGAACTGCATCAACTAGTTCCTGCCCTAGAGAATTTTCTGACAGTTCGGTTCTCAGGTTTTCCCAGTCTATCGTGGATCATCGACCACCTTGTGACCAAGCATTGAGACAGTCTAGCAAAACCTCATTTATCTCACAGCTCTTATACCTTGCTTTTCAAGCGGCAACGAAATAATTCTTACGTCTCACTCTCATAGAATGTTCCTAAATAATTGAGCTACTCCACCGCCTTTGCGCTTCTGGATTCTGTCGACTCTTACTAACATAAAACCTTCAAAATCAGGTTCCACACTGTCTATAGGTCGTGTCAACCAAGTTTCTGTGACTAGTATTACATCCGGCTTGGTAGGTTCAATCTGTACATCTAGGTCTGATCGCTTATTGAGGAAGTTTCCAGCATTTTGGTAACATATTCGAAGCATATTCAAATGGCATCGTGCTGCACCCGTAGGGACTCCGTACAGTTCTCTGTCGAAACTTCAAAACTCGAAAATCTACAACTTTTAGGTCCTTTGCGCCAGAATCTGACCTAAGTTTTAGTTATTTTTACACGGTCTGTTAGCAGCAAGTCCTTACGGACAAAACTCCTGACTCCTTTAGTTTATGTCCATTCTGTGGTATTAAGTCCCGTTCATTGCTAGATTTAAATACTACTTTAAGCAGCCTGGTTTTATTCTGTTTCAAGCTCATTTGGCTAACTTGTCTGAACACTTTTAGCAAGGTGACTCCAGAGATATTTTGAATCATTAGCTGATTAAGTGGCTGTTATATCAACTCAATGTCATGCGCTGATCTATTTCTAGGTTCTGAGCTTTCACTTTCTTTGATTCTATGAAAGATAACTGACCTGTCACTATGATCAGTCCCTAATTTCCCAGCTACTTTTTGGGGAGGGGACTGGCTTTTCTTTATTGGCGTTATATCATTTCTTCTTCTTGACTTGTAACCAATCATCAACTTTCGTTGGAGTAGCAACCACAGTCGCGTTAAACACACTGTGGGATTCCGTGAGTTTATCAACGACACGGGCAGTCAAGCTGTTTTTCCTTCTGGAAACAGATCTAGCCTTGCGATTGGGATTGTTAGACATTTCCCGCCGACTACCATTTAGAGGATGGTGGACAGAAGAAGATTTCTTCCTTCAGTTTTTAGCTAAGACAGACCTCCTTTAATCCATGTAATTCAACCATTACGAAACTTATTTGATTTGACTTCGCATTGATTTATGTATCTATAGAAAGAGCAATGTCCGATGAGTCTCAACTACGTTTGCCAATACACTTTCCAGAAGCACTTACAAATAAAATGGCCTAGGTTAGCAAGCTGTTTGTGTCCGAGCAGCACTTCTGACAACACCATACCCAAACATTTTTACTAAACTGTTTGAAAGCCACAGGCGTTAGATTCGAGCAAACTTTGCGGCACCATCTTTTCAATCGTTGCACTGCATGCCGCTTTCAACGGGATATCGACAGCTCGGGCGTTGGAAATTGCTTTTCTTGCACTGTCCAGCAATCAAACAAGGGTTTTCAAAGAGAAACTAGATACATTAATACCCAGAGACAAAACAAATTGATGACCACAAAAAATGGAAAACTGTAAATTGTTAGAACCAAAAGTGCTAACAAATACAGTAGAAACAAAGTACTTAAAAGTACCGACGATAAACTACTTTAGGAACAAAAACGACCGTAAAATCTACTCAGCGAGAAAAAAATACCATTGTCCTGAAGATGCCACAGGTATTCGGAGTTTGACAACGCTTTAACCAGTAACACCTATTATGAATAGTACCCACCAAGTGAAGTCAAAAGACAGAAGAGAGGAGGTTCGAAGATATATTTGATAGGTTATCAATATATCGAGGATCATCTGATCTAATCTGGCTAGCGATTGCAGGCGTTGTTGAGCACGGCGTTCCCACTCGTGATCTGGTGAGGATGCATGACCGAGCGCCTTCAGCTAGGTGAGTCCATCAAAACTAATGTTGTCAGCATCCAATGCCTAAGACTTACGGAGCTATTTATTTTGGGGATTTATTTACCGCTACAGTCATTTTCAAACAGCGCAGCAAAGTTAATTAGTGTTCGCATGCTGTGGGAATAAGTATCATTCACAGAAGTCTTATTACCTTGTGTACTTCTTTCAAACAGGTCTCAAAATTGTCCCGACTGGTAAATAGTCACGACAACATAATGTCATTGAAGATTAAATTTATATTATGCATCATTGCGATGGTATCACTTTCGTCACATAAGGGGTGAAAGTTTTCAGACGTGGTGTGGCTGAACTTAAATCTTAAGATGTCTCGGTCTGACCGCTTCTGCAAAACCTTACTCATTGTCGAGAAGACGCATCGATCATTTTACGACAGTCTGACCTTCAAGTGCTCAGTAACCTTCGTAAATGGACGATGCCACTGAAGCGCGCTACTTTCCTCATTTATTAGCATTGACCTTGTACGCACATATGATTTTCGTCTGCTTAACTTTTAGAAAAGCTCTCATGATTTATATCATTTCAACTATGATATTTGTGATATAGTGAAAATTATTTTCCTAGGTCGAAACAATCGGTTGCTTAAGCAGGCAATAAAGGGGAAAACGAGATAAAGAAGAGGGAATACTGAAGAAAAGCGCCAAATGTCTCCTCCTATGTTCGAGCATAGGAGACAGTTGGGGCTAAGAGGAAGGTAAACAATTTGGAGTGCGATTAAGCGAAAAGTAGACAATTCTTGGACATTTCAAAAATAGAGTGACAAAGAGTTAGTGTCACGTTATTTTATCAAGGCAGGTGAAAAAGGAGACTTTATGGTGCGTTTCTCCATTATTGCCCTCTCATTTTACCAACAGAATTTCCTTGCTTACCATGTTTTCCCTTTTTTTGATTGCTTTGGTTAATGTGGAAAATTAGTAGTTTTACCCATGATCTGTTTTTCTCACTGTCGTTATTCTCCTACAGCTACTTAAGTCGTTTCAAAGTACGAAGTTTTGGCTTCGTTCGTATTTGTCTTATTGCTCGCATTCATCGAACAGGTAGTTTTTTGTCTATGAATTCATAGTTTAACTACATATTCCACTTGTTAAAAGTCTGTTGTACGACTTTTGTTTCTTTGCTTTCATAAAAATTCTCATGTTTAGCATTCACGCATGGATGACACATGCAGTGTTGTTATTGAGGATTTGGCAAATACACATAACGTGAAACCGGAATCAGTGGAAACATGGTTAGCACCATTTGGTGTTGTTAAATGTAAGTGTTAAACTGTGGCAAAATCTTGAACTTCTTTAGGCTTATTTTTCGAGTTCTAAATTTCAGTTCCTACTTATTTTATATGCTTTTCTATTTGACTCCATCCTTATGGTGACCAAAGGGAATGTATTAGATATCGAACGGCCAAACACACGAATAATGGGAAAAATTATTTTTGAAATAGGACTTTCCCTTACTGAAAGTATGGGCAAAATATGCAGTATTTCACTATTGATTATAGGTTGTTTCATGACTTCAATGTTCGATCTATTTAAACACTTTAATCGTTTGTCACTCACTGAACTTGTTCCGAAATAGAAGTGAAGTGACTTTAGCTAAAGAAGCATTAAAATTAAGGGCGAATGGCCAAGTTTGAAACTTCTTGCCATCACGTAAAAACAATCATACACTTTGTATTTGTAGTAAATGATGATCATATCCTCAATGGTGACTGGCTTCAAGGTAGACATTTTGTATTTCTAGTAAAATGTAACCTATAGAGTCAACCAAATAGAGATTATATATAGGTATCTGTTTTGAAACGTTTCTACTACCATTTGTCTCCTTTTATAATCAGACCTTCATTCTTGGATACAAGATTTTAACATTTGTTATGCCATTAAATTAACTAGCTCCTTACTTGAAGTACCTATTTGTACATTTCGTTTCTAAATAAGTTTTAAATTAACTGAAACTTTTAATTTAGGGAATTTTAAGAATACTAGTTTATTACTTTCCACCCCAATAGATAGGTACAGGAATTTACCTTACGTTTTCACTACCTATGTTTTTGCAGTCGTATGCTAGCTTCTTGCTACATTTTTCACTAAAGCAAAATAAACTAACACTAACTGAACTTTATCTCCCATTAACCTGTACTCTTGTTTGTTTGTTGATTGTGTGGCCTTTTTCCTTTCACAATATTGCAATTGGACATTGTATGACTCGATTTTTGGTGTATCCTATTGTACTAGAATTTATATATACTACAAATTCTCGTTTTAAATTTCTACCTATCCAAGTAATACACGACTCAGTCAGTCAGTCAGCTACAACGTAGGACCAGGTACATATGTGCATCGGTCCAGGTTGCCATACCTCATTAGCACAGCAAGATGAACACTGGATTCATAGGAGTGGTTAGGTCAAAAGTGGTAATATATAGGAGAAAGATTGCAATAACGATATAGTATAGGAAGAAAGAATTAGTTAGTAGAAAGTAAGATATGAAGTGATTTTAATCTATTAGTTTAAGGGAAGACAGCGAGTCTATACACCGACGCCATTGTGATAGATTCTGAGCCATGTCACCAAGAGTCTCCAATCATTGATTACGAAAGTCACGCGGACCCCAACCAAGTAGTCTGCATCTACCAACATGGCTCAGACCAGAAGTTAGTGACTTCAAGCACTGATGTCACGTTTTGGTTTGGCCGCCCCTAACTTCCTTCCAACCATCCCCTACACCGGTTAGCATTGCACGTCGCGGTAATCGGTGTTCAGGCATACGTAACACGTGGTTCAACCATCTCAGTCGATGAAGATTCACAACCTCATCAACTGATTTACCATCATTACCTAATACCCTGAGTCTAACCTCACTATTACTTACCCGGTAATCCCAGCAGACGCCAGCAATATTTCTAAGGCATCTGTGGTCAAATACTAGTAGCTTACGAGTGTCTTCTACTCTTAAAGGCCATGTTTCGCTGTCGTAAAGTAAGACAGAACGGACTGCCGCGCAGTATACTCGTTCTTTTATTGATAGACGGATATCCCGCCTTCGCCATAGGTGACATCAGTTGGCAAAAGCCAAGCGAAGCGAGCTTTTCGAATCCGTGCTGAGATTTCGTCCGATACTAATCCATTAGGGCTGATCAGACTTCCAAGATAAGTGAAGTTTTCAACGCGTTCGACTACTTCACTCCCTATCCTTAGTTCAGGTGTCGGCGCAGACCAGTCCTGAAGTAACAACTCGCATTTAGAGGGAGAGAAGCGCATTCCAAACGTTCTGGCATTGTTACTTAGTGCTACCAGAAGACTCTGCATTTTGTCAGCGTCTTCACTAAACAGGACTATGTCATCTGCGTATTCTAAGTCGATAAGTGGACCTCCTGGAAGGAGATCAATACCCGAGGATTCAGTCGACGAGAATGTTATTCCCATCAGTATGTCTATGATTGAGTTAAACGAAAATTTAGAAAGTGGACAAACTTGACGGACACCACTTGAGGTTGCAAAAGCAGATGACAGTTTGCCATAAGCTCTGACTCGACTAGTAGTGTTCGAGTAAAGAGCCTTTACAAGGTTTATGTACTTCTGAGGTACGCCTTTCAATGACAGACACTGCCACAGAATCTCGCGGTCTACCGAGTCAAATGCTGCTTTTAAGTCAAGAAAGACCATCATTGTCGGACGTCGATAAGTATGCCTGTGTTCTAGAACCTGACGAATGGTGAATATGTGGTCGATGCAGCCACGACCAGGTCTGAAGCCAGCTTGGTTTTCTCGTGTTTGCAGTTCACGAGTCTTAGTTAGGCGTCCGATAATTATCGAGGCTAGTATTTTAGATACTATATTGGCTAAACTAATCCCTCTATGGTTGTCACAGGATAATTTTAACCCTCTCTTATATATTGGGACGATAAGTGATCGCGACCAGTCAGATGGAATAACATCTGACTCCCAGATCTTAGCTAAAATATTAGTCAACCTAATCGCTAAAATTGGACCACCATCCTTAAAGACTTCTGGAGCCAATCCATCTGAACCAGCTGCCGTCCCTCGTTTCAGATTAACTATAGCCTTCTCAACTTCAGCAAGAATTGGGGGACCTACTTCAATGTTCCATTCACACTGTCTGGGAATGGAGGGTAGTTGTAGAGTAGCTGAAGGCCAGTGTTTTCTAAAATGTTCCGCCCATCGTTCTAAACGTCTGAACTGGGAGCAGATGAGAGTTTCGTCTTTTTCCGAAATAATCTCACTTACACTTGACTTTTTAGTGTCAGTTTCTTTTATTAGTCTGTAGAGCTGTCCTGTGTTCCTTATAGTCGCCGCCTTTTCCATCTCTTTTGCTTTCGTTACCCACGACTTCTCACAAGCGTTCCTTAGACTCTTTCTTAACCTAGATCTGATTTCTTTACGCTCTTCATCGTGTTCAGAACCTGGTGGGACGAGTTTATGAGAATCCATCAGTGCAATAGACCTTGAGGAAATCCACTGGTTCTTTGTAACTCTTTGGTTTGAGTCACTAATAGATGTCAATGCTGTTTCCACAGCTGATTGCATGCCTTTCCAAGCAACATCTGGGTCAGCCTCGATTTCAGAACTACCTAAGTGTAACCTCAGTTGTTCCTGGAACCTACTTTTGGTTTTCTCGTTACTCAACTCAGTTCTAACGGGTCTTTTTAATGTGGCTTTTTTGCGTCCAGTGAGGCGCAAGCAGATGCGTGCCCGTATTAGGGCATGGTCGGAGTCCAAGCAGGTACTCCATAATGAGCGACAATCTTCTACCGACCCTCTCCAACGATGACTGATGGCAATATGGTCTATTTGAGTCCATCGTTGGTTTGGTGTAGGGGGTCACCATGTTAGACGATGTCTCTCCTTATGCTTAAAATTTATGTTTGCTAAAAATAAACGATTGTCTGAGCACAGTTGCAGCAGACGATCACCATTATCTGTTCGTTGTGCAGGAATAATAAAATACCCATTTAAATGCCTTTCTGTTTGGTTTAAGCTACTTATCTGGGCATTAAAATCGCCTGCTACGTGTACTATGTGTGAACGTTTAGCTTTCTGAAGAAGTTCGGACAGCTTTATGTAAAATTCATCTTTCACTTCATCTGAGCTGCATTCGGTGGGAGCGTAGGCAGAAACGACAAAAAGGCAACGACGTGTGTCCCTATCCTTCCGAGTTCTTATGGAGCCGTTTACCCGAACAGCACATAGACGACTGTTGACGGGGATCCACTCTAGCAGTGTTTGTTCGGCCCTCATATTTAGTGCTATACCTACATCTGCCAGTCCACGAGAACTGGCCATCGGGTCACCAGATACACGAAGGGTGTATCTCGTTGGCTCTCCATGTTGTCGAGGTGAGGTCAAGTGAATAACCACACTGGAATCCTGTATGCGTGTTTCGGAGACAGCACACATCAATGGTAAGAGACCCTAGGGTTTTAGCCAAGGAAGCATGCTGACCGATTTGACATAGAGTGCGTACGTTGAAGGCTCCAATATGTAGTTTGGAGCGAGGTTTCAGTAGACCTGGGACAGTGTTTTCAGCTATAGAATCGTTGGCTATGGTGATACTTGAGGTGGAAGCCGAGAGAGGAAGTTTAGAGGCGAAAGTCGATGTAGGAGGAATAATAGGAATTGAAGAGGGAGGTTGATTATGAATACAGTGGTCTTGAGTGCTGTTAGAGGTATGAGGGCGGTTATCACTTCCCGGTTGCCCACACCGCGGAAGGGTTGCTCTGAAGGTACTTGAAAAGGAAATTGGATTAAAGGTGGTCTCAGTGACCTGAGAGCGTGACCTCAGTGCCCAAGGGACAACTGCTTAAGGTCGGTCACACACGACCTTTTTATTGGTAATTTCTGTGTTAGCTCCGTACTTGTTGAGACCTTACCGCCGGTGATGGATATCCGTGGGATAAGGCGAGGTGTGCATTTTTAGGGTCGACCTTTTCTGACCCCACCTCTCCCTGTGGGAATGCAGCATCGCTGTCATGCTGGTTGTCTGAAGGAAACACCTCACTGCCGTCACACCTCTGTACAGTCAGCAGTACGACTTCGCCTTCGGACCTTAGGTTTGTTGCTTTTAGTCTTACCGCTCTTCAACCGACCTGTTTGACATGGTAGGACCTTGAGGAACGGTTGTTCCAGCCAGTATAGCTCGGTTGCTTCATCACGATAGGCAAGCTCAACCACCACGTCAAGGTAGCAACAACGGTCGGGAATATGCGACTAGGATATTTTAAGAAAATTTCAGATTGGGCAAACTTAACTGTTCACGGATCTACTTTCGGTTAAAGAAAGTTCTCAGGAAATATTTACTTGGTGAATAATTATTTCCATATTGAAATACCATTATTGGCTACTATTATAGTTATGAATAAATTGAAATTTTCTTGACATTTCTGTCTAACTTTCAACAACCTTGATTTTGTAGTCTTTTAGGTAGGAGTGAATGTTTAAGTAAAGTTTTCGGTATAACTATACCGTACTGACAAACGAATAAAATTCCGGTTCTTGTGTTTTAAGCGAAATTCGAAAAACGAAGAATAGCTTAGATTTCATTAACAGCTAACTAAAACCTACCAAACTTTTTACAAGAATGCCTGAAATTGATAAACCAGAGATGACAAAAAGTAGGGCGACACTTGAGTGTCTTTATAGTAGTGGTTTATTTTACATGAAAAGTAATGGAAAACAAATGGAATTAAGATGTATGCAGCATTATATGACTTATGAACTTTTTGAGGTAAATCATAGTTTCTTGACGCTTGAAATCAAATCACAAATATATATATACACATTAAACGAGTTGCTATAAATTTAGTTTTCAGTGGGCGTATTTATATCTTTTTAGCTATATCTATTTACCGACGTGTGATCTTCGTGGAGTTCGGAAGTCCTTCTGCGGCGGAAAATGTCATAGCTAGTGAAAATGGGAAGATGTTTCAGAATAGTTATGTGTCCATACGAAGTCCGCAACCATGGGACTTGATGGTTGCTGGAGATCTTGTTACTAAATACGAAGTGCCAACTTCATCTGAAGCCAATAAAGAAGCCGAAGTCGAAGTAAAAGATGAAAATGCATCTAATGGCAATGTTCATACGGAGGTTGAGGAGTGAGTTTTTATTTTCACTAGTCTATTGTTTATAAACGTATCTGTCATTTGGAACGATAGTTCTCTTACTTATTATCCTTTGACAAGAAATTGCGATTCTGTAGTCTGTTGGAGTTGTGAAATCGTGCAGTCAGCACTTTTACTTGCAAAAATCAAGTTAACTATCGATCACCAGGACGCAGCTTCATGTTGATTTTGTCAGTGGGGCATTATTGTCCAAATACTTTATGTTTATGTTGTGGTAGAAATTCTATCTCATGGCTGCTTAGATAAGGAAGCAGGGGCTTAGTGTTTAGAGCATTCGACTTTAGGCTACTAAGTCCCTCTCACTTAAGTTCTGGTTGATACCCAGGTGAATGAGATAACTGTCATAAAATGAGTTTTCGCTGTTTTGGAGAATTATTTGGATATATCTCCCAAAAAACATACCTAAAGTTTTTAAAGGTTTTGTGCTGATTGCTTTCCTCTATAATTATTTCTGAGGAAGTTTGATTAGTGTTTTCTATCTTTAGCAGTAGTGTTACTAATAAATCATGCTTTCTTGAATGAAGCACTGTTACTATGGATTGTGTTCATTACCGTAAGTTGACATCTCACTCTGTGATGTGTGGTAGTGGAAGTATGATTGATTGTTGAGTGTGGGCAAACAGCCACAGCCTACGGACTATTGAATATGTGGTTTTCCTTCTTATAATTAATTTCTACTCTGAGCTTACTGTGTGTGACTACTTATAGTTGTATTGAATTAATTATTCTCTAGTGTTAATCTGATTCTCTATTTTGGGTCGCAAATCCTGGTTCTGATATAAAGTGATTAGTCTTATTAACGTATTATCGTTATATACATGTGAGAGGAAAAAAATTATTGTAAACCATCAGTTACATTACTCTGCTATATTTATTGATACTCCCTTGTATGTTGTTGAAATAAAACCTTGAGCTTAGGTTTTATGCTAATCAAATACCTCAATGGGTCTGATCGAAACGCGCAGTACAGTCTGCTAAGTCACTAAGTGTTGATACCATGCGTAAAAGTTGTTAGATTTGCAGAATACCATCTTCACAGTGTTGTACATCAGTAATTGTAGACTGTTGGTAACACAGCACAGAATCAATCACAATAACTTGAGCGAATTCAACACATATCTTTAAAATGTGGAACATTTTATTGCTCATAAATTTAAGTGACTAGTTGTTCATATTTATACAATTTGACTTGCTTATTCTTTCCACTAATATTGTACTTACTCCATAATAGCAATAATGATGATATTTTAGGGTAAAAAAACTAATCACACATATAAAATATTTGGATAAAGATGAACTCTGGACGTTGTATAATGCATTACAAGATATGCGAAATGAAAGGGGAGCGAAGACTAAAGTTAAAACTCGTAAGTTTCACATTTTTGCAGAGTACAGCTGATCTTTTGAGCCATCTATCTCCCATAAAATTACTAGAAAGTTTAATTTTTAATTTACTTACTAATTATTTAACCATAATTGAATTTTGTTAATAAGTTGAGACTTGACTCAGTAGTACAAACAACTGAGTTGTAGTTGAAAGGAATACTAGGTGTTTTTAGTAGCCACTAATCAGTTCTTGTAATTCAGTCACAATTCCAACTGTGGAGGTAAAAAAGTCAATCGATGTAAACCAACATGACATAGATATAGGCGCACAGATAAACATAGTATGTGTATGTTGATTTAATTTGAGTGACTGACCTTTGAGGAAAAATTATGTATTCGGTTTTTGTATAAAGATAATCGAATTTCAGGAATATAAGTATTCGACTGTTTTATCTGTCATGGAGTCACTTTAGTGTATCGTTTGATATATATATATTATTTATTTCAACACATAGATAATGGTACAAAGAGGCACCAAATACATATGCGCCACACAAATCTCATTCGATATGTGTGAGGGCTGTGATACTGCCCGGGTGCCCAAACCGAAGCAGGTGGTTTTCTTAGGGGGCGCACCCCGAGCCTTCGACCTAAAGGTCTGATCCACAAGGCAGTGGAGCATCGTAAGGAGATGCAGTCCCATGGAAGCCGGTGACTAACAATTGGTTCATTCGCCATTTGTTCCCGCAGGATACTGGAGCCCATGTGCACCATTGGTTTGGAATCCGGTTAAAGCGCCGGACATTCGCTTTTCGTCCTCTCATTTTCGTAAACAACACCCCTACCACGAGAAGGCAGTGAGTAGGACTTCCCTGGCAGAGGCTATATACGCGTGGCCGTGTGAGAGTATTTCGAGAGGGAGAGCGAACTCTTCCCACTCTCGGCCGTACCAGGGCATTTGGGGGTATATATATATAACATATATACTCATTGGCTTTCTCTTTCAACACCTGATCGACTACGAAGTTAGTCTCTTAGCTAAAAATAACACTAAAGGCTCCTAAATTTAACACGAGCTATTAATTTTGACACACTGATTTGTATTCTAATGGGGAGGGGACTTCAAAAGAGCACCTTATTTGGTTGGTGCGAGCTACCATAGCGAGTAATGTCATAAATTATACATCAATCACTATAATTACTTCTGATAGAAAGATAAAGCATAATTATTTTTTTGATTTCTCACTTATGAATCAAATAGACATTATGTCTAATATTTTTAAAATACTTTTTTCCCCACTAACAAACACTTCAAGTTCCTTCTGGTCGACCTTGGCTTGATTCAATAGGCAAAAATCTATTAACTGAAAGAACTGAAACATTGCACAAATTAGAATTAGAAGATAGTAAAATAAATCGTCGTCGTTTTATTCAGTGTGACAAACTATACACTGAAGCCAGTAACGAATGCGAAAAAGCATGGTTCAATATAATTGACCAAGAAATTAATACGTGTAATGCTCCTATACTTCCAGAGGGTAAGTATGTTCTTTTTGTTGTAAACAATGACTTAAAATTTGAAAAAAATCCGACAATTTTTTATCAGAAAATATTTTCTCACTCACTCCAAATTAAGTTGTCAGCAAGCAATAAAATTGTTATGTTCTGTTATCGGTAAATATGCTCGCGAACTCAACTTGTTACTCAAGTGATAAAATTGAGAGTGAAACTTAAGTATTTTATTGGCAAGCTGAGAAAAACAAAGAAAACACTACAAATTCATATATATATATATATATATATATATATATATATATATATATATATATATATATATATATATATCGTAAATATTGAAGCCATACTATCCTATCAATATGCTGTCTCATTGCTTAGAAAAGGAAACCGCGCTTTGCCCAGTCATATAGGATTATCACCTGGCCGATGTTTTACTGGGCCACCGTATCACAAACCATAAAAAATAATTTTGTCTTATTTGAGATTTGTCAGCTAAACTTGTTTTTATAGACTTTTCTATTTTTAGAATGGCTCTTGGTGTCTGTATAGTTACACTACAAGATAAAACTGAACTATTCAGTTTGTCGAAATCCTTGTTAATGTGCACCAGTTGAAATTTAATTTAACGACTGTCTTCTTTTAAGATATATGTTAAGTTCCCTGTCTATGCCAATTATCGGACTAGTGAAATTTCTTTACCCACTGACGATTAATTAATCTACAGAAAATTCATCCGTTCTCAAAACAACGAATCAGAAAGACTAATCAAGTGACTTGTGTACCTTGTATTATTCAGATTCAAAAACTCATATGATTTTATACATATAACACTCAAAACTGCAACACACGATAGATGAAAGTCTCAATAAGCACATACATAGGAATTTGTGATGCAAAGTTAAAGGACAGGTGTATGATTGGCTCACTGTAGTAAATAGACGGCAAAGATTTGTCAATAGTTAATGACTCAAATGAAGGCTTATAATTCAATGTAAAAATACCTTCGATCACTTGTCTAAAATTTATATACATACTGATTTCCTCAGGGAAAGATTTTCGGGTTCAGTCATTTATATATATATGGCCCACATGGAATCCTGAAGGCCAAAGGAGGAGAGGAAGACCAAAGAACACATTACGCCGAGAAATGGAGACAGACATGAGAAGAATGAACAACAATTGGATCGGACTAGAAAGGAAGGCCCAGGACAGAGTGGGATGGAGAATGCTGGTCGGCGGCCTATGCTCCATTGGGAGTAACAGGCTTAACACAACACACAGGGTATCGTATCGATATACCCTTTTTCCATAACGGATTTTAATTAAAGTGAGGATAATAACACTAATTGTGCTGATGAGTATACAACCAACTAATAGACTCGTTTACACGAAGTGAAGATATGGAAACAATAATGAGAAATGACGATGCAGTTAAATAATCTAACTTCTGAAGGCTTTCAGAAATATTTCGAACGGTGAAAACGGAGTTAGGACACATGTATCATCATAAATAGAGGAGTTCCATAATATGGGTAGACGGCTGTCCACTGTTTCTAGGTTTCAATTGTAGTTTAGTTAAAATTAGTTCATGATTTAAACTATGAAATACATTTGTTGTAACCTCAGTTGTTATTGAACAGAATAGTATGGAGAATTAATGGGTACATTTTGACGTTAGTCAGAAATAATTTCGTGTATAATTTCTGATAACTAGAAGCAGATAGTTATCTGCCCGCTACCTACGCACAAAAAATGACGGGATTTTGATTCCTCTTCTATCACATTAATAGGTATTTAAAGAATTTTTATAACGCCAGATAAAATAACGTTCGCTCAAAATAATGTACAGCTTTTTTAAGTACATGTTGAATAACTTGCTTTACGAAATGTGTCGTTCTGCTAAGTTTGCGATTCGTGATACAGAAAGCGAACATCTATAGACAACAAGAAAAAACTTAGGACTACTGATTATAACCCCTGATATGACTGTAAAGGGTATAATTTGGTATTCGAAACAGATTCTCACTGGTAATATACAAATAGGCTACACATATGATTTCTACCTCCAGAATCTTTTATGTCACTGAACCAGCGAAAATCAGAAAATAAAAGTCTAACCTGCGACTTCATAATTAGATAAAATATTACTCTTTATACATTTGTGAACAATAATAAAAACCCAGTAAGGGTAACTGTGTGGTTCATGTAAATTATTGATTCAACAACAGTGTAGATTGGCCAATAAAGTTATTCCGACCACATCAGCATAAATCAAAACCCGCAGTAGGTGAATATCTATTTTATCGACCAGTCACTTAAAATCTTGATTTCTATCTACTACAGCCGCTTCCTATCAACTACAGATAAACGTAACGTGATTTATACTTTACCATCTTCAAAACTGATTTTGATGTAAACGATAAACAGAAAATGTTAACATGAAGGACAGAAAAACATTACTTAATTACGCCTGTTACTTTTCGTAGAGGAGCATAGGCCGCCCACCATCATTCTCTATCCAACTCTGCCCTGGGCTGTCCTTTCCAGTTCTTCCCACTTGATATTCATTCTCTTCATATCTGCTTCCAATTCTCAGCGCAGTGTGTTCTTTGGCGTTCCTCTTTTTCGTTTCCCTCTAGGACTCCAAGTTAGCGCTTGCTTCGTGATGCAGTTTTATGGTTTTCTCACTGTGTGTTCTATCCACTGTCGACATCGTTTCATAATTTCCTCCTCAGATGAAAGTCGGTTTGTTTTCTCCCACAGTAGACGGTTGCTGATGGTATCCGGTCAACGGACATTCATCATCTTACGATATTTAGAATTACTCCTACCTTTTTGATAATGTGGTGATTCTCGAAGTTTCAGCTCCGTACAGTAGAACTGTCTTGACGTTCGTAATGAAGATTCTGAGTACCATATGTTCTTCAACTGTAGGAATGCGGCCGTTGCTTTGCCAACCCTTGCCTAGACGCCTGCATCAGGTCCTCCTTGTTCATCGATGATGCTGCCAAAGTACGTGAAATTTTCCACCTGTTCCAGAGTTTCTCCATAAGTTATGATTTGGTTGTTCTCTGTGCTGTATTCGAGGATATGAAGCGTGGCGATCTGAACCGATGCATGTATGTGCCTGGTCCTACGTTGTAACTGACTGACTGATTCGAGGATATTGCTTCTTCACTTGTGTATGTTGAGGCCTGCTTATGCAGAGGCTGCTGCTACACTAGTTGTCTTCATCTGCATCTGTTCATGTGTATGGGATAGAAGGGCCAGGTCATCTTCGAAGTCCAAATCATCTGGTTGATTCCGAGTTGTCCATTGTATTCCATGCTTTCCATCAGATGTGGAAGTCTTCATAATCCAGTCAACCATCAGGAGAAAGTGAGAGGAGGAAAGTAATCAGTCTTGTCTGACTCCGGTCCTTAGTTGGAATGCATCTGTCAGCTGTCCTCCATGCACGACTTTACACTGTAATCCACGGTGTGAATTCCGTATTTTATTGACGATTTTCTCAGGTACACCATAGCGTCGAAGAAGTTTCCATGAAGCCCTCCTATCTACACTGTCAAGTGCATTCCCATAATCAGTGAAGTTGATGTATAGTGACGAATTCCATTCAGTTGACTGTCTAATGATGTGATCCCTAGTGTCGCGGTTTCGTCTGTGCACGACCAATGATTACGGAATCCAGTCTGTTAGTTTCGAAGTTGGAAAACAAAAAAGAATAATAATAATAAATGCTCTTCGTAAAATTCATAAAATATTTTTTAAACAATTTCAAGAACTGTTCATCATTGCATTGAATACTTTGACACAAAGACTCGCTTTAATTGAATAAATTTAAGCCACTTCATTAACATGGAATCTATTCAGTTATAAAAGGCAAATGTAGAAATAAGTCATGGATAGCAACCAATTAAAGTACACATCAGAGTTGACGATTTCGAACGTTAGAATTTTCATAACTTACGAACAACAATTAACTGATTTTATAATATAAACGCAAAATAATTTAGTAAACAAGTGACATCTGGAAATTAAACCATAAAATTTTGAAGAGAACGATTGTATGAGTTAATTAACTAAAAAAAGAGATAAATTCTCATTGGAACGATACAAAATATTCACTGAAACCAAGATAAGCAGTTTTAAACTAATCATTTGATCAATTCCAAACTTCTAGAAAGAGAAACTTCCTGGAAGATCGCTTAATAGAACTGCTAAATTGATAAACTAAACGTTGATAAACACATCCTTTCTGTAATGCATAATAAACATGTTAATATCAATAATATGAATATTTATCAAAATACTATCCTAAGTTATTGGGAAAAGATATGAATTATTTATGTAAATCTGTATTACTACTACCTTGGGTGAGGGTATTAGTTTTAGTGCTAGCAAATAAATCTCTTTAAGAATCATCTAAGGGATTTTAAATAATAATACTGAAACTTTGTTAAAAATGGCACTAACTATGAAATCACTGTAAAAATATTCTAGCAGTTGATTAGTATGAAGATTTTCTAGAATAAAATTAACTTAAAACATATGGCGATAATATCAAAAGTTACATGATAATAACTAGAAAACAGTAAAATAAAATTTAAGAAATTAAAATAAAAAAGGGATTTATAATTATCAGCAACATGAAATAAAATGTTACGCAGTTACACATTAGAAACTGAATCCGTCAGGATCGCAAGGAGCTGAAAATTCTGTCTTTCTGAATAAATCACCTAGATTTCGATAACTTTAACCGAGGTAGATGGCTTCCGCAGAATGTAATAAATTCGGAGCTGTTTGTTTACTTGTTGATTATTTTGGAAGATTTTAGAATTTCAATATTGTGTCCACTACTAAAGCAAATAAAGGATAATCCCACTGTTGAAAACATATTAACTTTTTAGTCTCAATTTCTGTGGAATGTGGTGAGAGAGAGATACGAACTATAACCGTACTTTCTAGTCCTTCAGAGTATGTATATGTATATATGTATGCACATAGATACAAATTCGTAAATACAGTTAAAGATAAGATGAAGTTTGAATCTTCGAATTTTTGTCTTGAACAACAATTCGTATTGTACAGATATACTAGTTTAGCAGCTGGACGCATCATTTTCAATACAACACTCAGTCTAGAGTTATTCTGTTGAAGATATTTATACTGGTTAATTAGTAGGCTTTTAAAACTTCATTTTAAGAAAACTTTTCATCACAGACTAACATAGGCTATGAAGTTATTGAAAGACAAATACCAACCTCTGATTAATCCTCGTGTTAAGTAAATACACTGTCAGCACCATACGAGATTGAACTCAAGACTTTCAGGTCTTGGAGCGAGCACGATATAACACAACTGAGTCGATATCCAGCAATCCATTTTCGGATTTAATTTTATTTATTATGTTTATTCAGTGTTGTTAATGACTGGTAGCCTTATTTCTAACGCGTCTGGTTCAACTGTGTTCTCATTAGTATTTTTTTAGTAAGTCTATTTTGGCAGTTATACATCATTTAAAACACGGTTATATCAACTTTATGTTGACGGTCAGTAGATCCAATAAATTACCAAGGACTTATTTGAGAGATTCATATGTGATTAACGCTATTTATGCTTACTTTTAATTTTATAGATATGAACAACATATCATTCCCACCAGTAGTAGCAGCCCCTCAACCTCAGATAAATGGTCCTGTATATGATTCCACAGGATTTCTGATGCCATATCCCAATCATTTTCCTTCAGTTACTTGCTATGATGAATATTCTGCTGTATAATATGTGCTTAACCAAATATATACATACTTGAAAAATAATTTTATTGGTTTTCACCTTATTTCGATTGGTTGAAAATAATATGGCAACTATCCTACAACCAATTTCGATTATGGGTAATTTTGGTTAAGCCCTTTTATTAACTTACTTAATAGACAATCTTATTTGAGCAGTAACAATTCTCATATTTCTTTGTGCCTTTATGATCACTGGAGCACATGACAGACTAGCTAAAGTGTTGATCGTTTAGATATCATTCGATGATTCATCCTCCCCCCCATATATAATGTACTCAAATCCTATTATTAATCCTTGCTGTGCCCTTATAGATTTGCCACCGTATTTGCTCGCATATACTTATTCGCCTCTCCACTTCAGATTTGCTCGTTGTGCTTATAGCTTTGTGATTTGCGTTATCCACCAATGAACTGTAGTTGCCGCTTCTCATTGCCTTCTGGTTTTAATAATCACTGAGATTTATATTATGACGGTTATCGAGGTGATCGATTAGCGAAGCAAAGCCACTACAACCAATTAAAAAAAGTTATAAGCATGAATTTCATAATTTCGTAACATTTATTGGTGGGATCAGCACTTGACTATAAAGTAATCGATACCTTCATGAACTGGAATCCTAAATATTGCATGCTAGCGAATCCAAAAATAGTTCAAAACGTAGAGATTTATCAAAATGGACAGATCTTAAGTCTTACCTTTCCACGAAACAGTAATGTAGTGTTATTCATATGCATTTTCTATGGCAGTCCCAACAAACATATGCGATTCTACTAATTTAACTTTTCACATAATCAACGGGAAATACAAATTTCCAAACCTATTAAAACAGAAGGCCAGATGAGTGTTCACAAGCACTTTCTTAATGTATTTCCCGTTCTCACTGATATCGCTAATTCAGTGCACTATAAATAACAGGTTACAGTATGTATAAAATCAGAATCTTTTTGGTACTAAGTTTCGGTAATAGGCTTATTACTAGCTTTCACTAACTTATGGAAAAAAAACATGACAGTTAATGAATTAAACTGAAAGTTAAAAGACTATAAATTAATCATCTAATGAATCCATAATAAATATATGTATGGTTTCCAAATTTATCCATTTTCATTTATTCCCCTATTTATAACCTATTATTTCGATTCCTTTTTTTGGGTCTTAACAATTTTGAGTACTGATTATTAGCAAGCCGATTTGTCGGCAATAATTTGAAACCTTAAAATATTGATTCACAGATGTTAACACTACTGATGATATATCTGACAGATTTCCGTAGGTATATCAGTCGTTCGATCCGTGTTTTATCCTGCATGGTGGAACACAGAGTAGTAGATGCCCAACAACAGTCAGTCAGTCAGCTACAACGTAGAAGCAGGTACATATGTATCGGTTCAAGTTGCTATACCGCATTAACACAGAAAGATGAACACCGGACTCATAGGAGTAGTTAAGACAATGGTGGTAATATATAAAAAATATGTATATGAGGATATGGTACGTGGAAAGGTATGAAGCGATTTTAATCTCACGGTTTAAAGGAAGACAGAGAGTGTATACACCGACGCCATTGTGATCGATTCTCAGCCATGTCACCCAGAGTCTCCCGTCATTGGTTGTGACAGTCATGTGGACCCCAACCAAGTAGTCTTCATCTACCAACATGGCTCAGACCAGAAGTTAGTGACTTCAAGCACTGATGTCACGTTTTGGTTTGGCCGCCCCTAACTTCCTTCCAACCATCCCCTACACCGGTTAGCATTGCACGTCGCGGTAATCGGTGTTCAGGCATACGTAACACGTAGCTCAACCATCTCAGTCGATGAAGATTCACAACCTCATCAACTGATTTACCATAATTCCCTAATACCCTGAGTCTAACCTCACTATTACTTACCCGGTGATCCCAGCAGACGCCTGCAATATTTCCAAGGAATCTGTGGTCAAATACTAGTAGCTTACGAGTGTCTACTACTCTTACTGGTTATGTTTCGCTGCCGTAAATTAAAACAAAACGGACTGCTGCGCAGCATACTCGTCCTTTTATTGATAGACGGATATCTCGCCTTTGTCATAGTCCACGTAATTTGGCGAAAGCAAAACGAGCTTTTTGAACCGGTCAGACACCAACCCATTGGAGTTGATCAGACGTCCAAGATAAATGAAGTTATCGACGCGTTTGATTACTTTACTCCCTATCCTTAGTTCAGGTGTTGACGCAGACCAGTCCTGAAGTAACAACTCGCATTTAGAGGGAGAGAAGCGTATTCCAAACGTTCTGGCATTGTTGCTCAGTGCTACCAGAAGACTCTGCATTTTATCAGCGTCTTCACCAAACAGGACTATGTCATCTGCGTATTCTAAGTCGATAAGTGGACCTCCTGGAAGGAGACCAATACCCGAGAATTCAGTCGACGAGAATGTTATTCCCATCAGTATGTCTATGATTGAGTTAAACGAAAATGTAGAAAGTGGACAAACTTGACGGACACCACTTGAGGTTTCAAAAGCAGATGACAGTTCGCCATAAGCTCTGACTCGACTAGTAGTGTTCGAGTAAAGAGCCTTTACAAGGTTTATGTACTTCTGAGGTACGCCTTTCAATGACAGACACTGCCACAGAATCTCGCGGTCTACCGAGTCAAATGCTGCTTTTAAGTTAAGAAAGACCATCATTGTCGGACGTCGATAAGTATGCCTGTGTTCTAGAACCTGACGAATGGTGAATATGTGGTCGATGCAGCCACGACCAGGTCTGAAGCCAGCTTGGTTTTCTCGTGTTTGCACTTCACGAGTCTTAGTTAGGCGTCCGATAATTATCGAGGCTAGTATTTTAGATACTATATTGGCTAAACAAATCACTCTATGGTTGTCACAGGATAATTTTAACCCTCTCTTATATATTGGGACGATAAGTGATTGTGACCAGTCAGATGGGATTACGTCTAACTCCCAGATCTTAGCTCAAATATTAGTCAACCTAATCGCTAAAATCGGACCACCATCCTTAAAGACCTCTGGACACAATCCATCTGCCCTTCCTCGCTTCAGATTAACTATAGCCTTTTGAATTTCTGCTAGAGTTAGGGGACCTACTTCAATTTTCCATTCACACTGTCTGGGAATGGTGAGTAGTTGTAGGGTAGCTGAAGGCCAGCTGAGCTCTTCTCTGAAATGTTCCGCCCATCGTTCTAAACATCTCATGAGAGTGTCGTCTTTTTCCGAGATAATCTCTTTTACACTTGACTTTTTAGTTCCAGTTTCTTTTATTAGTCTGACTGATGGCAATATGGTCTATTTGAGTCCATCGTTGGTTTGGTGTAGGGGGTCGCCATGTTAGACGATGTCTCTCCTTATGCTTAAAAATTGGTGCTTGCTAAAAATAAACGATTGTCTGAGCACAGTTGCAGCAGACGATCACCATTATCTGTTCGTTGTGCCGGAATACTAAAATACCCATCTAAATGCCTTTCTGTTTGGTTTAAGCTACTTATCTGGGCATTAAAATCGCCTGCTACACGTACTATGTGTGAACATTCAGCTTTCTGAAGAAGTTCAGATATCTTTCTGTAAAATTCATCTTTCACTTCATCTGAGCTGCAGTCGGTGGGAGCGTAGGCAGAAACGTCGAAAAGGCAACGATGCGCGTCCTTATCCTTCCGAGTTCTTACGGAGCCGTTTAGCTGAACAGCACACAGATGGCTGTCAAAGGGGATCGAACAACAGAATGTAAACAATGTCCACTCGAATTAAACAGACTTACTCTACCCATTAACAAGTTAAAATGAAACTTATCAGACTGATTTTCGCTTTACTATTGATGAGATGATTGACATAAGTACAAGAGGTTCAAATCATATCCGCGGAAAATTCTATTCATCAGTTTCTCCTACGATAGTTGTAGCGTCTTTATTTGGGAACCGTCACCGTTGTTTAGTGACCCTTTGTCGATTTATTTCTCCTGTCCTGTCTGTTCACACTTCATCTTCCGATTTATGTTATTATATTATCCGACCTATCTTAATTATTAATCTGTAGTTTTTTAACCACCCTGTAATCCCTTCATAGGATTAACACTACTATCACGCAATACATAAGTGTATTTGCGATTTTACAGCGTCAAGAATGAAATCAGTGGGAAAAACCAGTTTTCGCCTTTCAGTAGTGCACTGATGCGATCCTAAGACACCATTTCCAAATGCAGCCATTTTATAGTGATAGTCATCTTAAACCAATTAATAAACCTAACCGAGAAGACACTAGCGCACGCATCTAAAGTGCTGACCGACGATGTAAATTGGAAAATAATATAGGGGTAGGCAACTTATATTACTAACAGATCACAAATCCTAACTGAGTCTTTGTTTCCAAATAAGGAGTATCCGGACTTTGCACTGGGAAGTAATTTTACTGGAATCAGGTGTTAACGCACAGTATTGAGGATTTTGGACATTCTTATAGTCATACGGCGGGTACCTGGACAAATTACAAACAAGGCCATGCCTGCTACAGTCCCGTCTTAAACGGTTCTCCATCATTCCGGTAAATGGCTGGGCTAACAAGATAAAACAAATAACCAGGTACATTTAACAGGGTTGACCGTCATCTATAAAGCTCAGTCGGCTATACCGAAGATTTCTGTTTTGCAAATGCCTATGAAAAATTTACCCCACTAACACTACGATGGATAGAACCATATCAATCTATTCCAAGCACTCAGATACTGTTTATATTAAGTCTGTCGCTGGTAACTGCATTCTGATCGAAGATTGACCCTTTGAGTAATGTGCAGTACCGATGAAAACCTAAGAAAGTTCCAGCAACACGATGTCCAGAGCATGCACAGGTTTCTGAGGCCATATTTCTGGACTTTTATACTTATTGCTAGTAGACCATTCAGAATTAACCGGATAGTGTTCATTAATTGAAACGCAAATGAATTATCCTTTAAAGTCCTCTTGAGGCTCATATAGATGTTACTGGATATCACTAACGCTTGTTTGGCGTCTTAAAACCCTTAGTCAAATGA